CCATAGGATAATGTTACTAATATCCTCATAGCTCTGTGTGGCACTTGAGGAGACAATCTCCAAAATTTTGTCTGCTTCAAATTTCAAGTGGTGGGATTTTACAGTGAGAACTCTGCCCTCACTTCTATACAGATGTCAAAGAATTCAATACAATGTAAAAGAAGACTTTTCAGTATAACATTGTTAGATTTTTTATTCTTCTTTCCCCTTTCTTCTTTTTTCTTCAAAAAAGTTTAGCCCAATTAACTTATAGCTCCTGCAGAATTCCCCTTTGGCAAGAGCCATGAGTAGTAAGATTTTACCTTGCAGGATTTAAGAAAAATAAATAGGTCAAAAATCAGGCTAATGATTAAAAAGCTAATTATAACTTTGACAAAAGAACATGTGCTACACTACCTGATAGCAGAGGAATTCTCATGGCTGTAGGTTTAAAAAAAAAAAAGAACTCAGAAAGGCAAATAAAGGAATTAGATTTTTAAACTGCTTTAAGCAAAATAAGATAAATATTGACAAGAACTGTGTAACATCTAAAGGTTAAAGGAAGCATAACAAAATAAAAACCTTCTGCATTCTTTCCTTTGTCTCACAGAAGCAGAATAGATATCTAAAATTAAAATTATGTAATTACTATAGAACAATTTTTTTTATACTTTAGATATGAAAAAATGTATTCTTTTGTATTAATGTATAAAGCATTGGTAGGTTTGAATTCACTATTTACTGAAGACCACACAAAACTAATTTAACACCATTCAGGTTTTCACGAAAATAAGTTTGCTAGGCCACCGAAATGTCTTCAGAAAGGACAAATTTACACCGTAACACTTGAAGCACCTATCCAACTGTTTGGGGATATTTTTTCCAGAAAATGCAACAATTAAGGAAGAAAAATCTATTCACTTATACATTATCCCATGGGTAACTTTGATAATATATCACTCGCTAGGCCAAGTAATTTCTGAGCTTGAGTGAGAGGATGAATAACAACTTCCTTTGCCCTCTAGAGATTCCTAATTTGATTCCGTATGTGGGTATAAGGAAAGACAACTATGTGGCAGAAATTGAATTGGCAGAATTGTTTTCCCCCTTTTTCCTCCTTCTGTATCTGAAGGTATGTAATTCACTGTTCTGAATGCAAGTCATCAAGACAAGTATAACCTCATTTTATCCAGTTCTTACTCTTCAATAGTCAGCCCACAACCTACTCAGTCAAACATGCCTGTTCAAGTAATGATACTGTAGTGTCCTACTCCTCTTATTGAGCTTAAGAAGATATTAACACTGAACTTGCCTTTAGGAAACAGACAAAACTTTTCTAAATGTTACAGTAGCTTGTAAAAAAATGAGTACTGGCAGAAATGTCAAAAGAAAACTTGATGCAAATTGAATGACTTACTGTTACCATGTAGACTGCATTCATCTCAGATACAGTAAAGAGAAACAAGACATATGATCTTAGCAGGTCAGAACTTAGTGAACAGACAATGAGAAAATGGTCCATTCTATCAATCTATCTTCTCAGGGCCAAAACAAGTGAAATGTTTCCTGGACAATATCATGGAGAAAGTTAATTTAGTCTTTTACTTTTTTTGCAAAGGCTGCCCTATATTGGTAATCTTTGGCCAGTAGGATGTATAGAGCAACAGAATGCTTTTCACCTTTGCCGCCAAATCAGCAAGGTTCCCCTGTCACTTTATCGCCTTGTCTGTGACTCCCTTCTGCATTTATTTTCCTTGTTATGTCACTTTTACTTGTCTTCTAAACTATTGCCATATGTGAGCAGATAGGTTGTCTACCTGTGCAATACTTGAGAATGACCAGTTGAAGAAGGACCAACCTGACCATCCAGAAATCACACTAGGCAAAAGAAGAGAATTAGGGGAATAGATGTGAGACACAGCTTGCCAGGTCTAAGTATCTGCCTGTGACTGATAAGCCATCTTAAATTCTGAGATCATCAACAAGAAGATTTTTTTTTCTCACAGTTTGTTGCCCTGCTTACACTTCTCTGTGTTGTCAAAATCAGAAAAGTAACTGCTGTGCTCAGACACTGGTTCAGAGCTAAAATAAATCCTTTTTCCTGTTCATATGGCATGCTTAGCAAAGCTAAGAACTTTATCAAGTAACGCCTCTATGGCCAACAGGCTTTGAGCTTTTGACACTGTCCCACACGACATCCTTGTCTCTAAATTGGAGCAACATCAATTTGATGGATGGACCACTAGGTGGATAAAGAACTGGCTGGATGGCCACACACAAAGAGCTGTGGTCAATGGCTCAATGTCCAGCTGGAGACCAGTAACGAGTGGTGTCCCTCAGGGATCGGTGTTGGGACCGGTCTTGTTCAACATCTTTGTCACTGACATGGACAGTGGGATTGAGTGCGCCATCAGCAAGTTTGCCAATGACACCAAGCTGTGTGTTTCAGTTGATACCCTGGAGGGAAGGAATGCCATCCAGAGGGACCTTGACATGCTTGTGAGGTGGGCTGATGCCAACCTCATGAAGTTTAACCATGACAAGTGCAAGGTCCTACACCTGGGTTGAAGCAATCCCAGGCACAGCTACAGGTTGGGCAGAGAAGAGATTCAGAGCAGCCCTGCAGAGAAGGACTTGGGGGCGTTGGTTGATGAGGAAATGAACGTGAGCCGGCTTCAGTGTGCACTTGCAGCCCAGGAAAGCCAACTGTATTCTGGGCTGCATCAAAAGGAGCATGACCAGCAGGTCGAAGGAGGTGATCCTGCCCCTCTACTCTGCTCTTGTGAGACCTCACCTGGAGTATTGTGTGCAGTTCTGGTGTCCTCAACAGAAAAAGGACATGGAACTGCTGGAACAAGTCCAGAGGAGGGCCACAAGGATGATCAGGGGACTGGAGCACCTCCTGTATGAAGACAGGCTGAGGAAGCTGGTGCTGTTCAGCCTGGAGAAGGGAAGGCTGAGTGGAGACCTCCTAGCAGCCTTCCAGTATCTGAAGGGGGCCTATAGGGATGCTGGGGAGGGACTCTTCATTAGGGACTGTAGTGACAGGACAAGGGATAACGGGTTAAAACTTAAACAGGGGAAGTTTAGGTTGGATATAAGAAGGAAATTCTTTCCTGTTAGGGTGGTGAGGCACTGGAATGGGTTGCCCAGGGAGGTTGTGAATGCTCCATCCCTGGCAGTGTTCAAGACCAGGTTGGACGAGGCCTTGGGTGATATGATTTAGCGTAAGGTGTCCCTGGCCATGTGAGGGGGGTTGGAACTAGATGATCTTAAGGTCCTTTCCAACCCTAACGATACTATGATTCTATGATTCTATGGTTATATGATTGTATTTGGTTTGCATAATCCTTCAATTTTCCCTTTTTTTTTTCAATTTTGGGTTTGAATTTTTTTTCTGTCTTCTACAGAAGTAAGAAGTGAGAGGCTTCAAATCAAAACCTTGAACCATCTTTAACTGACCAATATTATGTAGTGAAAAGGTTGTGGTAATACTTTTGACTTTGCTGGGTCCATTCAGTTCTCCTGAATTAGGAAAGAATCATCTTGCCAACATTACCAAGTTCAAGATTTTCACAGCATACTCAGGAGACAATACTGCAGTCTTGGTTTGAGGGAAATTTATGGATTTATAATTTATGAATATTCCAACTCCCATTTTTATCAGGGCAAGATTTGGCATTTTGAGTTCTAATCAGATGAGGCCAAACATAATTCTATACAGATAGCTCTACAGGTTAAATAGGACTGTGACTTTGGTTTTAATGCAAATGCTGAAATGTAGCAGGGGTGCTATATATGTATTTGTTTTTAAAACATAAGTTCACTCACCTGCAGCTATTTCTTATCTTTTTTAGCCTGTAGCCTTAATGTCTTACTCAGATACTTTCTTACTTTAAGTAAGATCATCCCATGTGGGATGAATTATGTATGTTTGGCAGCATAACCTAAGGGTGAGCTCAGAGCAGAGACCTCCAAACATCAACCTTTTGATTACTTTAGTATTTTCTTAACTTCTATACAGCTCTTTTCATGCCATTTTGATCAATATCCAGTCATAACTTGGGCTTACATACCCATCAGCTGTATTTTATTTGCCTACAATTTTTTTCTGTTTCATAGATCTGATGCTCTGTATTGAGTCATGCAGATGCTGTATTCAAGGAGTTAGTGAACAAGTTTTGTCTGTTCTATTAGGTCCTGTACTTAGGGCTTGAAAAGCCCATATGTTAACATGAGTGACCATGACAGTATAATCCCATATATATATATATAAAAATGTAAGGGAATGTGCTGGAATACCCTGGATATGTGTTGTTCCTAGATACAGTACATAGATGAGTGCAGATGGATATGCTCTGGTGAGCATTAAAAAGGAGATAAAATTTCTACCTCTGCAGACAAGATCTATATTTTTGTTTTCTATACTAGATATAAAAGTAACAGTGTAGAGGGAAGGGTGAACCTCTCCACATATCAGATCTGCACAGCACATTGCGGCTGTCCACTTGGGTTCCATCTAGTGCAGCACAAAAATCAGATTCCAGCACCTGCAAGGATGTAAGGTTTACTTTCTGTGTATATTTCTAATTCCTATTTCTATCTTATTATTAAAGAAATTTTACTATGCTATTTGCTGTCCATTTAAAAGCAGTCGTGGGGTTTCAGTTTACATTGTTTATGTGGTGTTATGAAATGAAACAGGGACAACAGCATTCAGTGGGTTGACCCTGGCTGGATGCCATATCCTGCTAAAGCTGCTCTGTTACTCTCCCTCTTCAACTGGACAGGGGAGAGAAAATATAATGAAAGGCTCATGGGTCAAGATAAGGACAGGGAGAGCTCATTTACCAATTGCTGTCACTGTCAAAGCAGCCTTGGCTTGGGGAAATTAATTTAATTTACTACCAATCAAATCAGAGTAGGAAAATGAGAGATAAAACCAAATCTTAAAACAAACACCTTCCCCACACCTTTCCAGGCTTGACCTGCTCTAGCCTGGGCTCCTTTCTATGGAGCCACAGAAGCCTGCTCCAGCACTGGCTTCCCACAGGGTCACAGCCTCCTTCAGGCATCCCCCTGTTCCGGTGTGAGGTCCTCCCCAGGCTGCAGGTGGAGATCTGCTCCACTGTGGACCTCCATGGGCTGCAGGGGGACAGCCTGCCCCACCACAGTCTGCACCATGGGCTGCAGGGGAACCTCTACTCTGGCGCTCTGGCACTCTTACCCCTCCTGCTTCGCTGACCTTGGTGTCTGCAGAGCTCAGGTATTCTCACTCTCTCTGGCTGCAATTGCTCCTGTGCAGTAACATTTCCCACTTCTTAAATGTATTATCCCAGGGGTGTTACCACCATCGCTAACGGATTCAGCCTTGGCCAGCAGTGGGTCTGTCTTGGAGCCAGTTGGCATTGGCTCTATTGGACACAGGGGAAGTTTCTGGCAGTTTCTCATAGAAGCCACCCCTCTAGTTCCCCTCACTACCAAAATCTGGCTATGCAAACCCAATACCAGACCACTCAAACCCCTCTTCTCTGATTTACTTCCTTCCATTTTTATGACTGTTTTTGACAGATAAGAGCATTCCATACAATGTTTGTGTCACCAGATCCTAAGAGATGACCTAGACATCTTTTCACTGGTAGATAGACTGGTGGGAAATTTAGAATGGCCACAGGTCCAGGCCACATAAACATAATCACTTTTACTTATGCAAAAGCAGATTTTTTCCCTATAAAATGCAGAGCTTTAATGTCTTATGCTCACTTATTTACATGTAGAGATATTGCAAACTTCAGCCTATCCATACTCTTCGTTCCAGGCAGAGGCACAAGGGTTCTTACCCTGAAAACAATAAGCTCTGTGTGAAATTCAAAGGGCTACATTGAAAATATACAAAAAAGGGAACAGAAAGTAAGAAAGATGATCCTGGCAATTCATTTCTCCTCCTCCTTCTTGGATCACTAATGCTTAATTTATCAGAATGATAAAATATCTATACAAGTGGTAAAGGTATTTCCTGAATTAACCCCATCTTTGCACAAAGGAGCAATCACACTGGCTTTGCCTTGACTTTCAGAACATATACACTTTCATAGATATTGACTTTTTTGTGATTTACCCCAAAACTGCACATATTCCACAGTTCAAGGGACCACTGACAATTCAGCTGCACTGATAAGGAGTGAATTGGTAATTAGTGACTTTGTGCTCCCTGGTTATGGAGGTGAGACTGGAAACTGAGTACCAGGACTATGGACACAGACTACTGGAATTTGCCATCTACATGTCCTACACAAGAGATCACATATTCCTTTTCGTTTTCCCGTGTTTTCTCTGTCCACCTGTAATTCCCCTAGCACAAAGCCCACTTTCCTAAATATTTTTCTTGAGGGGATGGAAAAAAAAGCAAGCCCAACAAAACAAGTACCAAAATCAAGCTCCAATATTCCATCTTGGTATAAATCTGTAAGGTAGCAACTATTAAATTTTTATAGCAGGCATGTTAGCATTTTTCTTTTACTGTTTTGACTTCTCGCTAGTATTGCAGTACTATTACAGTATATGTGCTTATGACCTTTTGTCCTGAACAACATTCATCAAAGCATGCTTAAACACAATTTCATAGGACTTAAAGTTAAGTGACTTCAGGCCTTGGGTCTGAAAGAGTCAATCTGTTATCAGTCATTGGCAAAAAGTTGTTCTGCATTTGACTTTTCTTCTTTTGCTGCTTTGATTTTCAAGCACTTACAGTGCTGCGGAACATTGTCTCTGTTTTCTTGTGAAGGCAAGTAACTAGATACTGACCTTTCTCATGTTAGTTCTGGTTGCTGGGTTAATCTGCTGTATAACTCTTCTTCCAAATTATAGCTGTTTTTAGCAAAGGCAGTGGCAAACCCTTCTGAATCAGGACTTAACTGGGATCTTTGATATGCAGTGGAAATAAAAATGTGTAGCATTGCTTTTATCAGGCTTCTGCTTCAAAAATTATTCTCCTAATTATTAACTATTCAAGGACTGTTAAAAATTCTCTAGAATAAATTGCACAGATTTAGATAATTTTAGATTTTAGATTTAGATTTTGACTTTAAAACAAACAAGCAAAATAACAAATAAATACGATTCTTCAGAAAACATAACTGTTATTACTATTTATTTCATAGTATTGAAATACATTCCTTTATAAGAAAAGGGATTATGGTTTCCTTTCTGAAAAATTTTTCTATATTGAATTTATCTTTTACTTTAAAAGTGCATTTACAGTGTTAATACAGAAACCAAATATTCAGTTGCATCAAAGAAAAAAATACTTTTAATTCTGTAATGGCATGTAACAGTGCCAATATTCCTTGTTTTATATTTGTTCCAATCAAAAAATGCTGCCACTGAATTTCTCATGGAAAAAAAAAGTCACGTTCCAGTGTGTGATACACACAAAGTACTTAACTGTCTATGACCACAGGTTTATATATATATACAATGAAGCTGGTTTTTGTTAACAGGAAAAACAAAATAAAATGCATTAGATGCATATGTTTCTACTGATACTGCTAAGTTGAGGTCTGTGGTTGTTTTTTGCCTGTAGACTTTATACGCTCTAACACCCAGTCATATCAAGCCTGACTTTATCATGCTCATTTGTAGGCAAATTCATGTTTATGATGGTTAAAATGGAAAGTAACTGCTGAGTATTTGCTGAGTATTTGGATCTGAGCCTCAGCTCAAGGAGAGCAGTGGGGAGCAAAACCCAGTTGCTTTAGGAGAGCGTAAATCTGTGTGCTGATGGTTGCAGTAGCACAGCTCTGCAAAACAATTGTAGCTCCACAAAACAATCACAATTACTTTTTTTAATTTATTTATTTTTAATCTGAAGCTTCATTTCTAGATACAGAGTCTAATCAACTAATTCAGGGCTTAACAAAATTGGCTTCAATCTGTTGTCTAATGACAGGCACAAACAGATATTTTTCTGCTTTCATGACTACCTGGGTGCTTATTCCCATATGAAAATCTGCAGGAAGCACAGGGTTTTTGGGCAAGATTTTCACTGCTAGACTGTAACTCCTCCTGCCCACAGCAACTTTCAGCATAAGGTAGCGGCACTGATACCAAAATTAAAGTAAGTCACCTCACTAGAAATGTTACTCACAGAGGAAATACATGGATGTAAAGGAAATGAAAAATTCATTCAAGTATTTGTTCAGGTATTTATAGGACTCTTGTCACTGTAATATCTAAATAATATTTCATATATTTGGCTTCAACAGGCATTTAAATTCATACTAGAAAGCTGTCACTTCCTTCATCTCATTAGCACAGGGCCAGCAGTGCAATACCTAAAAGTTCCTGGGCACTTTCAGCAGGACTCAGGCAGAAAAGTATCTCAAAAGAGAAGCCAAAAATAAGGATGCCAACAGCTCCCACTCAGTAAGCTCTAGAGGTCCCTAAATTCCCCCAGTGCTTTCTTCCTGCAAGGCATCCAGTTTTATAGGGCTGCATTTGGGCAGAACTGTCTGGTCTGGCTAGGGCTGAGCAGCCACAGGCACCACTCACACCTCAGCCCAAGACGTCCCCTGCCAGTCAGCCCATCTCCCAGCACCCAACTCTGGCAGGGCTGGAAAAGCACTGACAGACCTTAAAAACTGCAGCCTTCACCGGTCATATAGCAATAGCCACAGCTTACTGAGTCTGAATAGAGAAAGGTTCAGCTTCTTTCTCTGACTGAGGACTTTTCAGTCTTTGAGATTGCTTTAATTACAAAGCTGTGCTGAGCAGGGACATTTTCATTCCATTTTCCTTTAAGTGTGACAGGGTACAAGATAGGTTGTTTTGTTTTGGTTTTTTTTTTCATTTATACTCATACTAAAAGCAAAACATAATTATTTCTCGTAGAGAATTGAAAACAATTGATAAAAATACATTTTATCACTAAGGGAAAATGCTGGTAAGCTTGTATAGCATGTTTTACCTAAAAACATCACCTGAGAGGAAAAATGATCACTTAAAACCTTTTTCTTTAAAACATGGGACAGGACACTTTATTTATAGCAACATAGCAGAAGTTATGGGGAAGAAATTAACAAACTGAAATTCAAAACAGAAGACTTACATTTTGCATTACATTTGTGAAAGCAAGCTGAGTTTTGTTTGAGTAGGACCTGAAGGCTTTTGCTAGAGTATTTCACCTCAGAAGGAAAGGAAACACAAAAACTTAGCAGTAAAAATAAGAGCTAGAAAATATAGAAATGTCTACAGAAGAAGAAAAAAACCCTGAAATAATAATAGTAAAGAAAAACTGCAAGACCTTTCTCAGGAATGAAGGAAATAAATCAAAAATAATTAAGACCCTTGCTTGGGGCTAGATAGTATAAATCAAAAAAGCCTAGGATTGAAAAGAAAATTTAATTTAAAAAGCCCTTCTTTGTGCCAAAGATTTATCATTTTTAAAGCTCAGTGGGGCTAGAATATTTTTTTTTCTTCATTCCAAAAAGGTGCACTTCTGCTTCTATTGGTAAATCCATTTGACTTGCATGTTGCTAAGTCTTCCAAAATTTTTGTGATTATCTCATTTTTCTTTTGTCTTTTAGGAAAGGGAACAAACAATTATCTGAATATCTGAACATCTTGCATTTGATTGTTTACTGTGAAGAATAATTACACTCAAAAAAGTAAATTTTGAAGTTGCTTGTTCCAGGATATTTTTAGTTTTTCTCCATCTTGGCTATTACCCACTTGCATCTTACTTCACCACAGTCAGTGTTAAATGATTTTACATAACAGAATCTTGTAATCAGGCAGCACTCACAGCTGATAAGTTCAATTCTGTACTTATTATGTACTCCATTTTTTAATGTTAAAACTCAGAGTAAGTGAAGGAGATAAAAATTCTCAGTTACTATCCTGCAAGGAAATCTGCTTTGATTGCATAGTGCAGAATTTCAGTCAAGTCAATGGGATTGACATGGCAACAGATGTAGCTGTAAATCTCTGTAATCTGCAAAAGACACAAGGTCATAAACAGATGTGAAACTAGTGACATCTGTAACATCCTGATACTTGAGCTTCAGATGGTCATTCCCTAGCTAACAAGTCACAAA